CCGGGCTCCGCCCGGGGTAGCGCTCCGGGGACAGCGGCCCGAACGCTCCGCATCTCTGGGGAAAATGCCGCGAAACAGATGCGAGGCACCGACCTTTCCAGGGCCTTTTCCCAGCGGAAATTGAACGATGGCGGGGCCACCTGTCCGCCCCAGGGCTGTGGCGGCGGCTGCTCCCCGGCGGACTGGACCCAAAGGCGGCCGAGGGGCAGCCGAGGGGCAGCCGAGGGCGAGGACGGGCAGAGGTAAGGTGTCAGCGATGGCTGAGGGGAGACGGGGAAATGGCTCCGTACCTCCAGTCAGGTGTGCAGTTCAGGGCCCCTCGAGACAAGAAGGACATTGAGCTGCTGCAGCCTGCGTGATCGGAGTCGTGTAATGGAGCTCCTCTTCAAGACTGATGAGCAACAGCTGAGGCAGTTGAGGGGGCCTCAGCCTGGAGAAAAGCAGTCTCAGGAGGGCTCTTCTCTAAACTGCCTGGAAGAGTGGTCGGGCATTGGAACAGGCTATCTGGGGAAGTGGTGGAACACTATCCTTGGAAGCATTAAAAAAACCTCCGTGTCTGTGGTGCTTAAGAACATGGTTGAATGGCGAACCCGGCAGCCTGATGGTTGAACTCAATGACTCTAGACGTCTTTTCCAACCTTAGTGATTCTGATTGTTATCCTGGAGTACAAAAATCTCCAGCGCTACTTTGTGAACAACAGAAGTGTTTTACTCGAGTCTGAGGTAACTTTTGTGCTGTCACCAAGACACCAAGAAAGTGCATCAGAGGCCGTGGGAAGCAAGAGGTGGCAATTGCTCTGGGTTTCTCTTTTCTTTTTCTCCCCGCTAGTGCTTTTGTGATACCCCTGGTGTCACTTTCAGATGTATTAAGGCTTGAAGTCCTAGAGTATTGTCTCTCATACACCCTGTTAATGCAGTGGTCCTCTGGAGCCCACTGAAGCTGCTCTTTGGGACTATTTTTTTTGTTACAAAGATAGCTGTAGCATGAAGCAAAACAGCCAGCCACAAAAGGACTTTCAAAAAGCCACCTACTCATTCTTGRTTTATTCTCAGCTTGGGCACAACTACTTTCAGCACCTCCAGACCACACAGTCATCACACAATCAAATGTTCAGACATTAAATTTTCAGGTTCTTAAAAAAAAAAAAACAAACCAATTTTAAGTGGTAATAAGCACTCCCTTTGAAATCAGGTTTCACATTCACCTTTTGATGTCCTGGTTAGAAAACTATTGAGATGCTCATTATCAAATTTATTTCTATATTCGATTCATATCCAGCATACCATACACGAGKGTATTCCTCTCACAAAAATACATTAAAAGTTATCCTAAAGATAATAAATTTGTATTACATTGCAAGATCTTATGAAGCAAATGCAAGCACAAAAGTTAATTTGCTATTAAGTACAATCACCTGAACTACAAAAAMTTGCACTTCTTAGTTTTTACTCCTAGGATGACACTGTATGGTCCATTACTGACCTCCTGCTGGTCAGTTATGAATAATAATTAACTGGGTTTGAGTAGACAAATTATTTATTCAAAAAAACAACTTGTGGTTAAACTGCCAGAAGTGCTTTCACAAACACTGCAATAAATAGCAGCTTCTTGAAACCACTCTGGACTTAACCAATCCATCTTGTAAGCCTATCAGCTGCCTTTTACCTGTTTTAACAACTTTTATTTTGGATCCTCTTTGCATGACAAAACAAGTTTTATTTCCTTCTGGCTCAAGCCTCATCAGAATTTGAACATTGTGCAAGTTCTCTTAAAAATTAAATCCTAATGAAAATAATACTGTCAAAGTGCAACAAAAAGCAGAGTCATTCTGGAAAGCTCACGAAGGTGGGGGTAGGGAAGGCTTTACCTGAATTTGTAATATGAGGCYAGAGGATTTCAGGTGGCCTATGCTCCTTTCTCATATGAAAATAGCTTGAGCCCATAAAGTCAGCATTACCTCTCCTGTATCTACTACCAAGGAAAAACYATTCATACAACACTCACTACCAAAATAACCTTAGAGTTGCTTAATAAAAATAATAAATATCAGTGCATTAGAACAAACTTGTTTGAGGTATTAACTTTGCCTTCCCATACTTTCTACATCTCAAAAAACCAAACAAAAATAAATTTAGACATTARAAAAATAAGGTAGGGTATTCTCACATGATTAGTAAGAATTATTTCCAACTGGATACAGTGATATTTGATATCCATTTTCTTTAGTGGTTCCTGGTATGTGAATATGAAGTAATATATATATATGYGTGTTTGTTTAGTTGTATTGCAGGTGAAAGTCTTACCCAACAGTTTTAACTGAAAAAGTATTTGTAATACCCGAGTTGCAGGAAAACAACACATTTTCAGTGTGCTCTGTGTGTGACAACTGGTCTGCAAGGCAGACAATGCCTTTTATCAGAGATTGGGCCCAGGTGAGACTCTGAAAAATTTCTCCCATGAAATTACTTTTCTTCACTTAGCATTTCAGCCATCCATGTGTTTGGAAACATTCCAGACGTTATAATTTTCCAATTACGARCACTAGATAGGAAAGACAAAGTTTTTATTTTCAACAGAGTCAGTTTTAGAAACAAACAGTAATTTCAACATAATCAAACACAAAGCGCTTTCACACAAAGCAAGTTATATCCTGCATTTGTTTGTCTAAGSTAGGTTTAACAAAGCAGGTTACTCTGGCACAGTCTGTAGATCATTCCACACACGAGTGAACAAACACAGGCTTTGCGTTTAAGGAAATGCAACTATAGAAGGGGCAGCACAAAGTTTTGCAGAATGCTGAATTAGAAGGAAGAGCTGCCAACATTGTGTGTCCTGTTCTCAATCCATACAAGGAACTTAAAGAGAAGCAATAGACTGTGCACATAAATCAAAACAAACATTTTTATTTTGGTGATTTGCATTCTGTTGCCATCACCTCACATTTTCCAACCATCACTTTGGAGTGAAAAGGGGAGCTAAGGGAGTAACAACTGAAGACCTACCAAATGAATATATGGCAGGATTATCCAGACCAGACTAACAGGATGCTTAAAGAATTAAAAATCCTTCCCACCATACAAGCAAATCCCAAGTTTGGAAACGCTGYGAGCGTCACTGCTTCTTTCTGTCTTGCTCTGACAATAAATTGACAAGAAGCAGTTTCTGTAACACCCAGTGGGGGAATTCTGCTTCTCAGTAAGGCACAGGACTTGCTTGTGTCACCAGAACAGAAAATTCAATGCCACATCACTCAGGCCTTTCAAGAACACRGAGAGCACTATGGTGGTGCACAAGCAAACAACAGCAGTTTGTACCATGTCATCAATGTGGAAGCTACAAAACTACCAGGTTTTATCTCCATCATCCTCTTGCCAGTTAATAGCTGCTGATGTAAAKTCTTATGAGACCAGAAAGCTTTTCCAAATGCACAAGGAAACTCTTAAATCTCTTGCAAACTGACTCAGTCTGCAAGCAGCAGCAGTTTACAAAAATGAATTAACACCATGACTAGAGATTGTATGTGATCTAAAAAATTACTGTATTTCAAACATGAAGTGTTGAAAGACTTTTGAAAAACTAACATATATACCAAATATTTACAGAAGGCACATTTGGCAAGAATAATAAATGCAGTATTTTTTATTTGTATTTATTTTAGCTTTATACTTTTAGATATTAATATAGTGTGACCATCATAGCCTTGTTTAAACACCTGTCTGCCTTTTTTTGACATTTARGTTGGACATTAGGAAGAAGTTCTTAATGGAAAGCRTGATTAGACATTGGAATGGACTGCCCAGGGAGCTGGTGGAGTCACCATCCCTGGATGTTTAAGTAAAGGCTGGGTGTGGCACTCAGTGCCATAGTCTGGTTGACAATGTGGCATTAGGACACAGGCTRRACTCSATGATCTCAAACCTCTYTTCCAGCCTAGCTGATTTTGTAATTCTGATTCTGTGAAATACATCAAGATGTTGTTTGATCAAGTCTGCTGCTTATGACAAGGAAATTCTTTTATTTTCAGAGTTTCATTTCCTAACTTTTTTTTGTGATCATCACCTTAAATAAGCACATCCAACTTAGGTTTCTGAAAGCAAAACRCATCTTTCATTTAATTTAGAAAAACAAGAGAAACTCCTTAACAAACATTTTACCTTCTTAATAAAGAAACACTAATTAACAAGCAGAAAAACAAAAGTCCAGGCTCTTTATCTGTTTCAGGTGGAATTCAAGCCTTAAGATAAGGCTGGGGTTTGTTTATGATTGATCAGCTGACTTACGTAAATGCACAAGGAAGTTTTCTGATGTTATAATCAAGGCTCTCTGGGCATTTCCACCAGCATTTCACAGACTTTCAATCAGCAGTACAAAAACCTCCAGCCAAACAAAAAAACACTGAACAAATATCTTCTGTWTGAAGATCTTTACTTCAGATTACAGATACAACTAGACTTGAAACTGGTAAGAAAATTAAGATACTAGATTCAATCCCTATTTTTGCACAATAACCTGAGCTATTCATTTGGAAAAGCTACCTCCAAGAATGAAGTAGCCTTTAGGTTTGGTTCTCTTCCAACTCAGAAAGTTTTAAAGTGAATTCTAGTGCTCGTGAAAAGATGACAACAAACCATTCCTTTTTTCAAAGAGGAGTACCTGTCTCTAAGGCAACTCCTTGCCAATTTGTAAACACTGCTGCKGCCAAAGCATCAACATCAACCATGAGCCTGAACACTTTGCCATACACATCCTCCTCTCATTCTGTGCTGAGACTTTACAGTCTCAATGCAAGCACAGTGCGCAACATGACTGAGACATGATKAACTGAAAAACATCACCAACCTGTTTTGTATAAAGCAAAAAGGGAAACATTCCATTACTCTCAACTGGTGCTGGACTGAGTGGCCCATACAGATAATGTATACTTTTTACAGACCTAAGTGAAACTCCTCTCAAGCAAATGCATATTCAAACCACCTAGAAATAAACATTACTTTTTATTGGTTTCCAGTGATAGGATGCACAGAAAAAACAGGAAGTCTCCATGAAGCTTCAGAGAGGGCTTGTAGAGGTGCTAACCAACTTCATCAATCCATGTTTAAACACTGCCTATAAACGTTTGTAAGAACCAAGAAGAGCATTGCATTTCGGACAGGTGTGATCCACATCCTTTAGGGCATCAATGCAGAAGGGAATTAGGCAGCAGCCCATTACACACCTGCAATGGCAAAAAAAAAAGAGAAAAACACTGCTTAACCACTTTTTACATACACAAGAAAGTAAAATACATTTCATTCCAAAGCCATCAGTAAAACTGGTACCAGAAGCTTTAGGAAGAACACATATGGCTAGGGAGTCCATTATTGTAATGTTCCAGAGCTGCTACAAGGCCCTGTAGGACACAGATGCCAATGTAAGCTATTTGAACCACAAAGGCTCAGGTCCCAGACMGAAAGAGAGCAAAGCTGAGAGCTTTGTTACACTTTAGAGCTATAAAAGGCYAAGGTAAGAAGTAAAAGAAGAGCAAATTGGAGTTGACTTACCCCAGCAGGCAGAGGCCACCACATGACAGCCAGGTCAAAGCTCCGGAATCATAGGAGAGACGCGTCACTATCATCTGGTTACAGGAAGGGCAGCACATCTGAACTGGGCGGTCATAAAATACTACTGGATGCTGCACATACACCGTCTGAACAGTAACTGAGCAGAGAAACAGGCTGTTTACTCAATGAGTACRTAAGGAAAAAAGAGTAGTAATCAACTTCCTCAGAACCAGGTACAACTTTGAAATATTTGGGGCTCAGAGCAGTGAGAATACACAATGACAGAGAGAAATCACCCTGGCCTTTCCTAATGYAGAAACACGCTGTCTTAAAAACTGTGCTGCACTAAAAACTGCAGAAAGCCAGATGTTATTGACATCAGTGCACACTGAGAATTCACAAGAATTGATCTGCCTCACTCCCTTCAGAAGTACTTTTTGGCAGGTGRTGAACACGTGAACCATGATTTTTCAGCTTCTGACAGCACCTATTACACAGCCACTTGACACTACCTTAACATGAGGTACAGAAGAGTTTTGCAGGCTTACTGGGGTTACTTGCTGGTGGAGGCTGTCCCATGTATGGGGGAGGGTTCATTCCCTTCTCATCTGGCTTCTGTCCAGGGCCAGGGACGGGATAGGGGTGAGGATAGTTCATATTGATTCCTACAGCCTCATCATAAGAAGGTGGTGCAGATGGGACAGGGTTGCCACTTGGAGCAGACATTATATCTAAAATATAAAAGAGAGAAAGTTATAACAAAAGGCATTATTTATTAAGGGCAAGTGACAAATAATTAGGCTCAATTCAGCAGCAAGAAGATAACTAGACTAAAATGGACTTTCACCAGCGTAAAATTAATTGGCTGGTATTGGTTTCTGAGAGTATTAAATGTTAATCTTGATTTCATTGTTGTGGCCTACTGCCCACTTTCTTTTCACTRGGCAGTTTTTACACTTTGTCACAACACCAATTCTTCCTTTATAAATTAAAAATACTAAAGCAAGGATGTGGGGCATCTTTATTAGTATACTAAGGTATCTGGCAGTCTCCTAATTCTCCAAGAACACTTCCCGATCCCTATTGTTCACATGAATAATTGAACAGTATGATATGCCATATGGTAGGTTGCTAACTGACATAAGCTTAGTTTGTGGCAAATTTYAAGTATTTAATAAACACTATTTACCTCTGCTGTAATTTGAAATAAAAAAGTATACTGATGGAAAAATAAACCCAAACAATTAAGTATGTCCAACTCAACTCAAACCTTTTACAACTCTCAAATAYGTCTAAGGTTTCAGTTTTTGCTTCTTAGCAAAGTTTTAACGAGTTTGTAGTGCAACTTTTCCTCCACCAATTATTATTTCATTGCAGAGGATAGGAATGCTGACCACTGCCTTTACCCAAAGTGGAAAGAAACTATTGTGGCTTCATGCAGACTTCCTCTCCTCCTCCCCACCTACCCACTTCCTATACTCTGCCCACCATTTCTTTGTGGAACAATTTCTCATGGCATCAAAGCTGACTAAGCATCTCCCTTTTCCCTTCCTCTTAAGGACCATCAGACAGTTGTCCAAGAGCCATTCTATTGCTGCACATAAGATCCCTCTATACACATGCAAATCTTTTCACTCAGGGCTATCTGGGAATGGCAATCTGTATTTCAAATATTAATTCTTTGATGCTACAACAGTAATATAGGAGCTTCAATTACCCATAGGCCTAGTATGAAGTAAAGAAATTGCAGTGATGCAATTTGCAGGTAAAAAAGACAATGTGCAAAGAAAAAGAATTTCAGGTGTAAGTTTAGGGCTGGAGTCACTCCATGCCCACTAAGCTTGGGTGAGACCCAGCACACAATGTTTCCCAACAATGACACAAGCCTTTCCCAGAGCATGGAAAAGCCCCTGGAATACTGCTGATTGTCTTCCTCACACAACACAGCTTTCATCAGGATTTCAGTGAAGTCTACAAACACTTCCATAAAGAACTTGCCACAAGTTTGTTCACTTTTCCAGGTTACACAGGACTAATCTGCTGCACTGGAGGCATGGGGATACATCAGCAAACACCAGTGTTTATGTATTTCAGCAGTCCCAGTCTTCCCAGCAGACTAAGCAGAAATGTGGAAAGGTGCACTAGAAAGGGAATTGTGTATTCAGTCAAGTGTGCGTTTTACAGTAGCCCCGTGGCCAGGACAAACACAGGAGCTGATACAGAAGAACAGACGTGCCTACAGGTGCAGTAATTGTGGTAACCCTGGGCCAGACATCGCTCCTTCCCACCATTCCCACACTCACACTGCAGCTTTGGCAGAATGAAGGAGGAACAAGACGGCAGTCAAAGATGTTGAAACTCAGTAAATTTTTGTAACACCAAGTATTTCACAGCTAKACTTTTAAAAACCACTCTTTAAAAACCACTGATCTCCTGTTTTCTTCCGAAAAGAGAAGTTTTTATTCTCTWAACTACAGAGCTGAATCACAATCTACTGTCCCCAGTCAGTGTRCTGGCTTTGGCTGGGGGTGCACAAGAAGCCAGGAGGGGATACTGYCAAGACAGCTGACCCCAACTGACCAAAGGGACATTCCARATCATAAAGCATCACACTCAGTAATAAAACCAGGAAGAAGGYTGTTGGGAGGGAAATGCTGCTCAGGGACTGACTGGGCATTGGTTGGTTGGTTGGTGGTGAGCAATTGTTCTCATCTGCATCACTTGCTGGATTGTATTTCCCTCTGTTATTTTCCTTTCCATTACAACTATGTATTTTTTTTATTATTTTATTTCAATTATGAAACAGTTCTTATCTCAACCCATGACTTTTCTCACACCCTTCCAGTTTCTTCAGCCTGTCCCACTGTGGAAGCAGTGAGTAGCTGTGCGGTGCTCAGTTGCTACGTGAGGTTTAATACACAGCTACTGCTGCTCAGCTCTGCCTCCCTGAAGAGCAAGTTCTAAGAAATCAAGACCCTTTTACAGATTTCAAAATGATCATAACTTCCAGCATGAACACTTCTAGTCTCGATATTTACTTATTTTTAAATTGTGTTGTATATTCATTTCTTACCACCAACTGGTTTTGAACAACTATTTCTATTTAAACATGATCWCTATGCTTTTTCTGCACTTTCACTTTTTTTTTCCTTTTCCTGCAGACAGATGCAAACAGGTCTCAGGTCTTCACAGCACTTTGTGGTATCTCTTTTTAAAATTTCAAACCTCCACACGTTGCACAAGTAACATGTGTGAAGTACTACAGTGAATGGTATAAAAMAAGAAYCATGTATGAATTCCTTTAAGTTATYTACCAAACCAAAAATTCCTAATAAACATCAGGATGACATCAGGACTACAAAAAAACTCTTCAAAAAGTATTGCGAATGTAACCACAACTTCAGCTTTTCAATTTCTTTTTTCTAATGTCCCTTCTGCTTTAAATGTCAACTTTGAAGAAGTATTTGAACCATCACTTCATACAGCCAGTGCAAACATGTCTCACACTCCAGGTCTTGAATATTAGACTAGGGACAAGGGCAAAAGAAGGTAATAACCCACCTCTCTGCTTGGTATATAAAAAAACCCATAAAAGACCCATCCAGTAAAGAACTGCTTACAGTTACAGCTTTCCTAACCTGGTCTCACCAAACAAATACGTTGTTGCCCTTCCCTTAATCTCTTGCTAAAATTTGACACGACTTAATCCTTAAATTAAACAATTCCTATGCAGTCCTCTTCACCAGAAATCCCAAATTGCCCTCCAACACCACGGGTTTAGAGTGGCTCCCTGAACAGCAGAGTGGAATGAAACATAGGTTGAAAGCTATTTTTTTTAACAACCCGGCAGGATATACAGGTTTATCAGAGCACTKGGATTTTTGCAGTGCACAGCAAGCCCTAACACAGCACCCTCTTGGGCCACCAACTTCATCTGAAATCTGGACRACAACTTCCTAGTTTACCAACCTGCTGAGAAATATCTCAAGAGTTGTTTAAATTTCTCAGGCATTTGTGAGAGGATAAAATCCAGTAATACAACAAAAAAGACTTCGACATATTATTATTTTCGTAAGAACCAATGGCACTGAGGTGACACTGAATTCTARACTGGCAAAGTAGAAACAGTACCACACGGTGTGTTCTGCCCGGCAGGAAATTTCAGAGGTTAGTGTTATTTTACCAAGTAATCAATAGTCTGGGAATAACCCTGTGAGTGGCTTCCTGTGAGTAACCCCCTCCCCGGGGCAGGGCCGGTCCGAAAAGCGCGGCTCCCGAGTGCATTCCCCAAGGAAAGGGCCACCTTCCGCCTGCCACACTCGGGGAAGCGAAACTGCGTCCTCGCTCGGCCGCCGCCCACGGCTTCTCCCGGACCGTCCCGGGACCGGGACCACGCCGCTCGGGACACCGCTGTCCCGTGAAGCCCCAACCTGTYCCCGGTGCCCCGGGGGTTCCTGCGGGGCGAGACCGGGCGCCGAGCCGAGCCTGCTCCCTCGCCCCGCAGCCGGGCCGGAGCGCTGGGAGCGGCCCGGGCAGGGCAGCGCTCGGGCCCGGGAGCGGCCCCTGCGGAGGAGCAGAGCCCTCCCGCCGCCCCTCTCTGCCGTGCCCGCGGCAGCACCGCGCTCCGGGCGGGGCGGCACAGCCCTTACCGTCCCGAGCCGTGCCCGCCGGCCCTCCGCGCCTTTCCGCTCTGCTCCGCTCCGCTCCGCTCTGCCGGGTGCAGTCACCGTCAGCAGGGCTTGTCCCGTCCCGTCCCCACCCGCGTTTCCTCCTCCCCTTCCCCCTAGAGCCGCGAGCAGGCGCCGCGGGGGCTGTTCGGGAGGGCGCTCCTCCGGCCCCGGACGGGCCCTGCCCCGTGAGCCGCCTCGCCCGCTGCCCCGGACCCACCGGCACCCGGGAGCGGCGCGTCTGGGCGGGACGGGACGGGAAGGGAAGGGAAGGGGGGAAAGTGTGTGGAAGTACGGGCACTCCTGATGCCCTTCGGAGTCCCGCCGATCGGGAACTGCGCGGCTTTCGCCAAGAGCTCCCTCAGATTAAACCAGTAATTTTCAGCTTTCCCGTCAGCAGCGCAGCCAAGCACCATGTTTTTGGCAGTAACACTGTAGGAAAATTACTTCCTTAATTCGACAATACCGCTTACGTTACCACATCAGGTACTTCAAACATACAAAAACAAAATGATCAACAAAACTTTCAACAGATTCATTGATTTTAGGTAGTGCGTTTACAAGAAATTGAATTGGATTCAGTATTTGGAAAACACAAGAGATGTCACTCCTTCCTCTGTCCAGCTCCAAGATAACACAARAAGTGAATTAGGGCCAGATATCTGAACGGGATTCAAGAGGAACTGCTTCACAGGCTGGTTTGTGTGAATCTGCGTCAGACTGAAAGTACTCGATAACMCCTCTGGGCTCAGCAGGGACAGTTCATAAGGCTTTTTGACGGAAAGCATCTAAAATCCGTTAAAGTCCGATTYTTGTATTTAAAACCTTCCTTGAGCCTTGCCTTGAGTAACATGCATAAAGCTTCAATTCAAACCCATCCCGGGACAAGGAGTCAGGTTTTATAGGRCAAAAGGGGCTCTTACCCTGAGTGACAATAAGCCCAATTTGAAGCTGTGCAGTCACAGTAATCTGTTGAATCACCTACAGGTATGGGTGCTTGGGGGTGTTATCAGATGGTGGGAATATGGAGGGCATCAATAGTCCCAGTCCCAGGTTTGGGGGGAACAGGGAGAGGAGTATGGATTGTGATTCATCACCACTGGGTGAGATTAGAATTAGATTTAGAAGTGAATAAATTTATACCGTTACCAAGAAATCACATTAAATAYTCTTTTTCTCAGAAGGAGACAATGAGTAATCTGGGTTTTGGTGCCCTTTGGATTAACTAAAATTGGAATAATTGTTCTCTTAGTAACTAAACCCCCTTGTCCAGGTGGCCATGAGCAGTTTAGGAGCCACAGGAGAGAGAAGTCATGACTGAACACATCTCCCAGGGTGAAATAAGGCACAACCTCCAACTGAAAGCCTGCTTACTCCAATTGCCATGCTCTCTCACATGTTTTGCCTTGCATCTAGTCTAGGCTGGCTCATGCTTCTCCTTGGGCACCCCAGCAACATTTCTCCTTTTTGCACTGCTACTGTTTCCACCAAATGTCCAAATAGGTGGTTGGCATCCATTTTCTGGTACATGAGTGTATTTCCTCTCACTATTCATCCTCCTTCCCACCTAGCTCACCATTTGCTAGTTCCTGYCTTTTCAGTCCTTTTGCTGGATGGYACTGGGCAAAAGAAGCATCAGCTTTAGCCAGTCTGTGGCTGGCCAGGTCACCACAGCACCTGTGAGCTTGTGGAAAAGAGAAGTCACAATTAATGGAATGTTTTGTAGTGGTCAGTGGAACAAATTGGCTCAAACCAGTTGAGGGGCTCTGTGGCCACCTAAAGTAACCTTTGCAGGGCCTGTTGCAACAGGAGAAGGTGTGATGGTTTTTAAGTGAAGGAGGGATGGATTTAGATTAGATGTAAAAAAGGAAGCTTTTACAATGTGGGTGGTCAAACCACTGTCACAGTCTGCCCAGAGAGGTGGTGAATGCCCCTGGAAGCATTCAAGGCAAGGTTGGACAGGACTCTGAGCAACCTGGTCTACTGAAAGGCATCTCTCCTCATTGCAGGGGCTTGCACTAATAATCTGTTAAGGCCCCTTCCAACCCACACTATTTGATGATTCTGTGATGATGATGATGTGCAGTTGTAAAATGTTGATGGGCATAGAGATGATCAAGCAAAGGTAAGATGGCCTTTACTGCTGCCTCAGCCAGATGGAGGAGGAAGCAATACTGACGTATCATGGTTCTGTTCTGCCTTTGATTCAAACATAAATCTAACTCAGCCTGACCAAAGGTAACTGAAACCCTTATTATCCCTCATTTACATATGAAACATACACCAATATGCAACTGAGAAAGCACCTTCTCCCCCTCACTAAGATGGAAGCAACAGGTGATCAATTGTATTTGACTACAGTCCCAGCTCTATTTATCTGAAACTATAAAATGGATACATGCAGAGAATGAGAGTATGACCCCATTTCATGGACAAGTGGACAGTTTTGCTCCTCTCTGCTCCCCAAAGCAGAGATGCCTCTTTGGTGAGATGTGTGCCTCTGACTGTGTCAGACCATACCTGGGTGAAATTATGCTTAATTAACTGTGAAGTTAAGTGTAATGAAAAGCTGAATTTTTAATTTAGCTTGAAGTTAACTTAGCTTAATTAGCCATTGGCTGGTGCTAATGCAGTAAATGCATTTATCAACAGCAATTCCAACTCTATTCCTGTTGCTTCAACAAGCAGCACTATTTGTCAATCTGTGATTGTGGATGTTCTTACTAAATGCAACCAGATTTACAGTGCCAAATTGATAATAACCAGAAATTAAGGCCAGCTGCATTCAGCTGCATTCTGATCTCGTACACAAGTGGGGTTATTTTCTGCCAGATTTCATACTCTAATGGAGCTGCAGTGTGACAGCCTACCTGGGTTAGGCAGGATGCTGCCCAGCACACCCACACAGCTTCCCCAAAGCTGCTGCCTCTGTGTTGGCACCCACAGAAGTTCTCTTCCTGCAGCAGACCAGGTGACTGGGTGGGGACACAGCCAGTGCCAGCTCAAGGCATGCATGAGGAAACMCAGCTTCTGATACAGCTTTTGATAGAGCTTTTTATCTACCCCCCCGCCATGAGCTGTGTACCTGAAAATTATAAACATAACTTGTTTTAAAACAATCCTAAGAAAAGAGGGCCACATGGCAGTTTCAAAAACTTGATGTACAAATGCAGCAGGATGTGGCCACAAGAGCTCTGCTCCATCCCCAGTCCCGTGGCACGGTGTGCTCCGCAGCCCCACCTGCTCTATTCACTCTCCTGCTTCCCTCTGCTCTACTGAGCCATCACCAGGGCTGCTAACAGCACCATGGGAATGTACACAGAATGTAGTGCATGTTTTGTCATCACACTGATTGCACACAAGGTATTACAGAACACCAGCAGATGTCAGTTTTGCCCCAAAAATAATTGCATGMTGGATTTACTAGCTTTTGCTTTTACAGCAGTAGGTTTCTGTCAAAGAAACTCAATGAAGTTCAAAAGCTGATGTATATTTAAAAGCCTGTTAGYCTTATTTTACATACTATAATATGCTCTCAGTGTGTAAAATAAGTAAACCTTATTCTCACCTTAATTTTCTCCTGCCTGGAAATCACCGACTTACACAAATGCAAATAAGTCTTTCTTTTAAGGGTGTGTATGTCATTTTGTATATACTGATTTGTTGAAGCTAGTTAAGAATTTCTATGACTTTTAATCATTTCAGCAATACTAGATGCTTAAAGAGTTCTGCCAGAATGCAGTTTCAGACCAATAATTAAAGTACAAGGATAGATTTAAAGAGAAAGCAAGGTAGATACATTAAGGCAAATAATGTGAAAGAATTTTTTCTTCACTGCTGCAATGGCTGATTCAAGTTGCTAAGCAAACAGAAAAAGAACTTCAWCACAATTTCAACATTTAGTACAATGACACAAGTGTTGAGGTTCACACAAGAAGCCTCAAAGATGACAACCAGATCCCACACTTCAGTGTAAAATGCACATTCACATTGCTGAGGTGTCGTCAAAGCATTGGTGATACTGGGGCAAGATAAATTAATTTCAGCTTCACATGGTAACCTCCAAGCCGGTTGGGCAGAGGAGCAATAGCTAAAGAAGCCACATAAGCCTCAGGGTTTTGTTAAGCTCAGAGTTTAAGGGTTTCATCAGCTTCCAGTTAATTTGGGAGTTAATAACTTCAACTTAGACTATCYCCAAATAAATTCTGTGAAAGAGGGGGCAGGGGAAAAAGAAAAAACCCAAAAAGACTAGAGAAACCACACAGACACCCTCCATTTCAGAAACCACTTGGTGAAGATAAATACCCCGTGACTGACTGCATCATTGCTGAGGTTTGTATATCAAAACACAGCTATTGCTCCATACCAATTTGGAAGTGGAAAGCAAAAAAGTCCCCCGAAAAAAACCCTCATCACAGAAAAATGATGACTTCAAGACAGCTTTCAGACACACGTGATCTTGCATTAAACCATCTGCTTTCTCAGTCCCAGTTTCCTTCCAGTTTCTTCACCCCACTCCTTCACAAAACAGCCACTCACACATCTGCCCAGTGCTCTCTGGTGAGCCAGGCTTAAACCTGAGCTTTGCTKACCTATTTATTTCATCTGCAGAAGTTGGTATTATATGGGGTAATATGCTTGTGAAATATTGGAATATTAATGGATTTATCATGTGAAACAGAAGCAGCATATCAAGCCTAAAACTGCAAATGATCCCCCAGGAATGCAACTGATTGACTGAATTGTGAAATTAATCCAAACCTAAATATCAGTACTTTACTGTTCTTCTAATATTGCTTCCTTCTAAATTACCAGCTCCCATAGTGTTATTTGATCATCATAACAACCAGTAACAGCTGCCAGACTGCAAAGCACTGTTTGACACTATAGCAAAATATTTAAGTATGTAAATCATWTTATCTCCCCTAGAGAGCAAGACAGAAGTGTGGTGTCAAAAGAGGAAATGATAGACTTCTTTTTCTCAGAACACTTGGCACTTCACGTAAAGAATTACAAGGAGAACAACCGTTCAGTGCCAGTAATGGTTCTCCTAGTATGTGCAACCAAAAAGAAATTGTTATGATACAAAAGTTTCACATTTAAAAACAACAGATCTCTCCTGATTAAGYCACCCATTATTTGAAGGATTATCTATTAATGTCATGAGAAAACAGAGAGGAAAAATTATGATTCTGAAAAAACATTCACCCTTCAAATTCATCTTCCTACTCCCTTGATAGGGTACA